AAATGCCAAAACAGAACTAACAAACCATTTCTACACATTATAGCCATTGCATTTATGTCAAAAACCCCTGTTCGGCTAAGTGCAGACCCATGGCAGCACAAATAGAAGCATAGCGATCATTTTACCAAAAACTGGTAATTGTAATGAACTAACTAAGCAGTAGTTTGAGAAGACAATCACAAAACCCACATACGTATCGTCTGAACGCGAAACTGAGTCTTATGCGCATCTGAGAAGCCTGCGCTGCATGGATACAATACAAATTCTAATATGTTGCCTCCGTAGTTCTTCGATGGCCAACAGTCTCGGTAAAAGCATATTAATTAAGTTTACCATAAAATTCAGATGTCTGTTTTTTTTAAACAGCTGATTGCTGCCATGCACAGAGTTGCCAGAAACTGCTAGAGTTGCATAGTACATTGTTTTGTTTGACTCGCACGACATGGGATGTTTTTTTTTTGCTTTGAAATTATAAAAGTACAGCTTTGAAAAATCAATTATTTTATATCATAATAGAAACGAGAAGGAACGTGCTCTACTTATACCCGTACTCAGTCAGTATATACATTTTTGAGCATATGATTTTTTAGAATTTTAGAATTACAAAAAAAAAATGTTACATTTTACATTTTTTTGCTACATGTGTTATCTACATCTACATATATTATGTATATTATACATCTAACATGTATATTAAACATGTACCATTTAGATTCTACATCTCCTCCGCTAGGGGTTGCTCGCGCACTGAACGCGGCAGAGTGTGCGAGCGAGAAAGAGAATCAGTAGCGTGTTTCATTCAGAGGGAGACGGGTGAAGCAGCTGAAAATTAATTTCTTCATTCTGGCTAAAATTATGATTTGATATGATTTAGATTCAGCAGTCTGGTAGATATGCGCATTCTCTACGATACTGCGTTTTTAGTCTTATCGTATCTTTAAAAATGTGCCTGCCACAGATTTTCGTCCTTTGTGTGGGCGGAAGGGGGCGGGGCGAAATTTTGAAATACACTTGTAGCAGTATGATATCACATGACTCTGGAAACCAAATTTGGTTGCCCTAGCTCTTATAGTCTCTGAGATCTAGGCGCTCAACAAGACGGACAGACAGAATTGGCTATATCGACTCGGCTGTTGATGCTGATCAAGAATATATATACTTTATGGGGTCGGAAACGTTTCCTTCTCTGCGTTACACACATCCACTTTTACCACAAATCTAATACCCCTTAACTCTTTTTTGAGTACGGGTATAAAAATACGGTGATTATAATCATATTTGCGTGGAAACATAACCATTTCAAAGAGACATCAATGCAAAACACAAACAGAAATTTGCATCAATATATTGCCCAAATTTTTGCTGAAATGTGAGTTTGAATTGATCGCCGCGGAAACCGTGCGAATGGCTTGGTTTTCTGCAAAAATCTCGAAAACGAAAAGTTGCCCAAAATTGACTTTAGCAGCAGTTATAGGGCTAATTTATGAATGAATATAGATAGATATAGATATATAGATATAGATATATAGATACAGATATAGATATATAGATATTTTCATGATATACAATTTTGGAAAAAAAAATGAGAAGAAACTTTAAAATTAGCACAGCGCTTAATGACTTTTAACACTCCTTTTTTGCTGAGGTCGTCATATGAGCGCAGAGCTTAACGTTACACGTCCGCGCGGAAATATGGTGTTTTGTCGCCGGATATACGTCGTTACCACGTTGAACTGAGAGAGAAACCTGTCAAACCTGTCAAACCTCTCTTTTTCTCTTTCTCTCTCTCCCTAACTTCTGATTTCACCAACCGCATTTTTTTTATCGTATTTGAAACATATTTTTTTACTTTAGCGCAAAGCTAAAACATATCAGGGGACTAAGCATGCCATTACATTACATCTCTGCCGCTGCGGCAGCCGAGTCGAGCCACACGAAGCTTGTACGCTGTACGTCTACCGACTGCGCTGCCCGAAATTTTTCCGTATGCACACAGTTCATACGACCAAAGACAATATTAGTAAAAGATAAATAACGCCATACGAAATTTTTGCACACGAATTTTTCATTCTGGCTCTAGAGCTGGCTCCAGGCTCTCTTGAAATTTTTTAGAGAGAGATAGCTCTCTAGAGCCAGCCGCTCTCTTGTATGCATACAGCATACGAAGGCACACGAAGTTGGTTTTTTGCCGATGCGACAGCCGAGCCGAGTCGTCGCGACGACTGTATGTGTGCACATGCATACGTTTTTTACAGCGCTGTCGAGATATACCCTTCACTTTATAAGTGTAAGTTAATTTTGCAAGACGCTTACCACCCCAATATTAAAAAACTCATATATTATATGTATATATCCCTCCAATGATAATTTCTTTTCAGATGGTATAATCGTATAGTAATATATATTATATATGTATATCATATATTAATACATGACTTCACATTGGAATAATTGTCATTAGGGTATTCATCATGCGATGTATTCAACGCCGGTAAATAATTTCGTTTCTCAACTCATTAAAAGGTTTTCGTCTCGAAAATCGTCCGCTTCGCACAAGTACGCACACATACGCACTTGCTTTTCTGTGTGTACTCACACATGCAAGCGGATTCTATTTTTAAATTCGTACGCTCTCAAATTTGTGCGAGCGAGATGGCGCGAATTTCGTCGCTGGCCGAAAAATTGTCTTGCATATGGCAATTGAAATGTATGAGCGTTATGCATCTTATACTTATATTGTCTTTGATACGACGCTGCCGACCCCTTCATTAAATACACTGTTCTCGAACCACTTTCGATCTTCCTTCCTGGTCTGTTTTGCACCATTTTCCTCATGGAAACACACAAAAAAAAGGGCAAGCAGCATTATTTCCTATACATTTACTTAGACATTTTGTGCCATGTATTGAAAACACCTCCATAATACGAAAAGCAAGTCCATACCATGATCCTTGGCCCTGCATACTTATTGGTTTTAGATATTAGTCTGGGGGTTGTATTCTGCATTACGTAGTCGTCTTATAAAAGATCGAGAGCCTTTGTGCTATGTTGCATACTGAATTTGCTGAAAAATTGCCTACAGTAAAAAAGCACCATAAGGATTTTAAGAGAAAGAAGACTTCTCTCAGAGAGGAGACATGTAAACCTAATTGATATTACAGTAGAATGCAAAAAAATTAGTGATCATATTTTGAAAAAATAATGACTGTTGCTCGTTCACTCGGTCCACCCATTTCTATCATATTGAAATGGATGGAAAAATACGAATTGATTAAGTACGATTTACTATGGGTCTCAATACTAACTACTTCTACTAACACCTCACGGATTACAGTATCAATGGAAAGTGATTTAACGTAATTTACGTGCAGAAACTATTAAGACTCTAATGTTTATGCCGTAATACTAACAACGCCTAATAACATTAAACGGATGGCAGAATCAAATACAACAAAAAACGAGGTGGAACCTTGTTAATCGCTTCTGTGGCGTCGTCGCGGCCCGTACCCGTACTCAATCGTAGTAAATACAAATACATATGTGAACTTATGATTTATGTGGAATTTTAAACTATTGTTTACATTTTTTTACTACATCTGTCATCTACATCTACAATGTAGATCAGCGATGCCCAGGCCCATTGCCCTGCGAGCCCTTTCGTTTTTGTAATTGCCCCCAGCATAGGAAACCAATTCTTGTATGCATACACAGTTTGTTCTGTGTACCAGCACAAACCCAACACATGCAAATAACTTTGTGTGTATGCGATCCGCCCAGCAGAAACCGGTTTTGTCTCTTCTCTGATTGGTGTTAACCCGACTTTTGTTATGATTTTGTTGTTGTCTTTTCTTCGAGTTCGCACGTTCCCTTATTCGTATTTGTGTTTTTGTTTGGGATTATTGGTAAGTGCTCTGCCGTAAGCTGATTTTGGGCACTCCTGATGTAGATTATACATTTCCTTTCGCCAGAGGTCACACACTGCAGTGTGTGTGAGCGAGAGAGAGAATGAGTAGCGGCTGCAGCGCTGAAAGGGTGGGTTGGAAACCAAAAATGAATTTCATTTTGGCTATAATAATGATTTGATTGAGTCGATATAGCAAATTTTGTCTGTCCGTCCGTCTTGTTTCATAGCTAGTTCTAGTTTCCAGACTCATATGATATTCTACAAGTGTATTTCAAAATGTAGCCACGCCCCTTCCGCCCAGAAAACGGAGTATCGTAGAGAATGACCATATCTATCAGATGGCCGAATCTGCATCATCCGATCTGATTTATTATAGCCAGAATAAAAAAATTAATTTTCAGTTGCAAATCCACCCTCCTACCGCTTAACCCGCTAACTCTTCGAGTACGGGTATAAAAAGACCATTGATGGACCGCGATTTATCAAGAATATACGTGCAGAAACTATTATGACTCAATATTACTTAGTACTACAACTAATTCTAATAATATAACATGGATGACAGTATCAAAGGCATTTATCAAGAATTTACGTGCAGAAACTACTGCAAAAAAAAGTGGACAATTTTCCACTTTTTCACAAATCAAGCTACGAAAGCTCCATCATCCGCCCTATTCTCCAGATATATCTGAATATTCCTTGTTTTCAAACCTGAAGAAATGGCTCGGCTGAAAAAAAAGTTGGATTCCTACGTTTAAGTCATCTCACAAACATCACCATGACACCAGGACCTCGATAAATTTTTTTGGAAGGAATAAAAAATTGAGAAATGTTGGACAAAATCTATTGAGCTACGAGGAGACTATGTTGAAAAATAAAATGATTCGTTATGCAAAAACACGTTTCATTCAAAAGGTAACGGTCCTATTTACCATCCAGATAGAGGCAGTTTTCAGTACTTTATTAATTACATTTTTTGTATTAATTTGTTTTTAAAACTTTTTGTTATTTCAGGTTGAGTTTTATATACTTAAATAAATATAATAAAAACTAAAATGGGTTCTACCCCAGGGAAACAAATTTAAATTCTACTTACCGAAAATGGTTTATGCCGGTGCGTCCATAATAACTAAGAACGTAAGAGCCAGGCTTACGGTCACTTTCACGCACTGTCCAAGACATATTAATCATTTAAAATAAGGTATGAACAAATTTATTACGTTTCTATATGAGATTGCCCATTTTACGCACCCAAATAGCTTCCTAATTTGCTGCTTCCACGTAGACGCGACTCTGCCGAATATCGATCTAACCGCCCATGGTACCATTCACTTTCCGGAGGCGCAATGATCGCCGGACGTTCCCCTGTAAGTAAATGGGTTTATTTTAAATACTAGAAACAAGCTGTCTTCGAGTTCTGAAGCTTTAAAACTGCTTACTTATCCCTACTATCAAAACCACTTTTGTTCTTCGTTTTTTTTAAATGAACAGTTTCTGCTGTTTACGTTTCTGAAAAAATATGAAGTCACAGTCAAAGCAGAAGCAAAAAAAATTAAAAGTAGCGACAGACGCAGCAGAGTGAAATATTTGATACCTTTTTGCTAACGTATTCTGAAATAATAGCGTGTATGCTCTGCTCTAAGCTTATCGCTGACGAAGCACGAGTTAAGTAGTTTCTTTAACATTGCGGGCTAAGAACGGAGTAAATTAACCTAGCTATGGTATCGTATTACGTATCGAAAAATTCGTCAACTTCTTGAAATGGTTTCTATGGACGCTAACAGTTGAATGTTTTGAAACAAGTAAGCTTTGTTTTACAGGTTGAGTATGTTTATCAAGGAAAATCTTAGCTAAGTAAAAAATAAAAAAAGTTAAAAAAATACAAAAATAAGTATTACACTAGTCAACACTAGAATTAGGCTGTGGCCCAAAATAACTTTTTCTTCTAGATTTAGGGGTTTACATTTTTTTTAACGAATTATGGTTTTTTTTTATGGTTTAGTTTTTTTTAAAGAATTTTTTTAAATCGGTATTTTTTAATGTTTTTTTCAGAGGTAGTGCTTCTATTTTTCAAATAACTTAAGTATCTTTCATCAGGTTGCATAGAACTTTGCAGCTCTGAAAAGCTGACAAGTGCAGCTATAAATCCGACCCAGACCCTTTGTATCTGCAGCTTAACGACTGGAATATATTAAGCTTTCAAATTCAAATTTCATAATTTTTTTGCGGAATTTTTTTTCCGAATTTTGACTTTAAAAACTCAGGAAAAGTAGAAAAAAAAATAATTCTTGGCATGCATTTTTAGTTTTAGATAGACGCATTAATTATGCGTCTTTTAAGGTATTGTTCATTAAAATCTGTTGTTATAATTTTACCTTAAAAATACCTTTGCTGAACCGTCCAATGCCAAAGGAACACGTTCAGGTACAAAAAATTCAAACCCGTTTCGTGTACTTTGTTTCCAATTGGCAATTGGGCCCGCAAACTTCCAAAAAGTATTTTTTGTCTATTTTTTCACTTTTGAGGTTTTGTTAACGAATTTTAGCTCCACCGTTTATCCATAGATTTTAATGAACCTTAATACACCTATACACAAAAAATAAAGAACCAAACATATTTTTTGGACTTTTCCTCAGTTTTTAAAGTCAAAATGTAGTAAAAAATACCGCACAAAAATCATAACTTTGCATTTGAAAGCTTCATATTTCCCAAACGGTAATCACAAAGTGTCAAATTTATAGCTGCATCAATTAGCTTTTCAGAATGGCATTGTTTATTACAACCAAATGTAAGATACTTAAGTTAAATGAAAAAAGGCGCTACATCTAAAAACTACTAAAAACTGATTCAGCAGTTTGGTAGATATGGTCATACGTTTTCGGGTTTCTCGTATTATTAAAATTGTGAATTGTGACTACGGACAGACAGACATTGCTATCGATCCGTCTATTATGGCTGATCAAGAATATATATACTTTATGGGGTCGGAAACGTTTCCTTTTGTGCGTTACACAAATCTAATTCGACTAGAAAACTAATATATCGGTAACCCCATCGAATACCAGTTATAAAATCTACCATATCTACCAAATTGTCGAATCTGGATCAGATCGAATCATTACTATAGTCAGAATAAACAAATTAATTTGCAGTGGCTAAGCAAGCTCCCGCTTCCATCGCTGCTGTGCTAACTCATTTTTTCTCTCGCTCACACACTCTGCCTCGTGAAGTGTGCGCCCTTTGGCGCCTTCTTATTTAACTAAATTTTCAAATATATGGTCATATGAAACGTACCAGTTTTAATTATACCATTGTAACTAACTACTTATTAAACTTACCGTTTATCAAATGTGTTCCCTCAAACTCATCCTGATCCAATTCCTGCGCCAAATCAGTCAAATCAATGCCACCACCAGCCATCACACCCAAACTGCCAAGTGCAGCCATGTTACAGTCATCAGAGCAGGCAGTTGGGGACCCGAGTTTTTCTTTCTGAATAACAACATCCACATTACTCAAACGCATAAGATCTGCCATGTTGAGTCTAATTTCTGGTTAAAAAACGATATTGCAGGATTATATGTAGTTTGTATGTGTGGGAGACAGGTTGTTATTATAAGGAACCCTACGCGCGGTAATACTAGTTGAGGGTCATAGATGTGTTTGCACTGAAAACTTTGCAGTTCCAGTGATTTTCAACAAGTAAAACATAACATAAAATATTAGGTAGATCAGCATAATAAAAATGATGGGATCAATGGAATCATGGATCACGATCCATGAATATGTATGTACAGTTGTGTTCAATGAAATAGTAGTGCCGCACCTCACTACTTTCAAAACTCTTTTTGAGATAGTTAAAGTCTTTCAAATAGAACAAGTGATACCTTTACGGAAAGCCTGGAATGTAAGCATTAGAAACTCAAAAGAAACCCTGTTACATTTGCATTCCATCTTCTTGTTTTTCATGACTTAAGACAACTACCCATGATATCTACTGTTCAATGAAATAGTAGTGCTAGGTTTAATTAATTTTTAAAAATAAAAAAACAAAGCAAATTAATTTAAATAAGCCACCATTCGCAAGCTCAATTTATATATCGAATAATTTGATGAAAGAAAGTTTTGGACATAGCGGTACTTTTGATTTTGAAGCGTTGAAAAAATCATTGCTCGGTCCAGAAGAGAAGACCTAAGAGTTAGACTAAAAACTTAAGGCGGAGGTATAATGGGATTGAAAACTAAGTTGTATGCACTCTCAATATTGTATTTAACCCAATTAACTAAAATAATTAGACTGGAAATCGATTTTGTATGGGAAAATTATATTTTTTAGAGGATGGTCGGCGATGGTCGAAGGCAAGACCAGGCCTTTAATATCCTCAAAAATTATGAAAAAAAATTTAAATCGCTCTGTCAGCGACGGTCTTAGTTTTTAGACGGTCTATTATACATTATTTGAATGCAAGAAGTCCCAGAAAGCTCCGCGTTTGGATCTGAGAGTACATGGGTGCACGACTTCAGTTTGGAAAATCGCATGTGGAATGGCCTGTGTTCACAGTGACAAAAATGCTTTTGACTGATGATAGTAAAGTTTTATTATATGGTAAGATAAACTCAAAAGATTATGTTTGGCATTCACAGAAATCCGATAACCACTTAAAATCATGAAAAAAATATCATTGGGCATGCTAGGCTGAGCCTTATGGGGCCCAGCTCATATAAGCTAGTACTTTCTAGCCTGGCGTTTGAGTATAGTATGGTTTGAGCGAAACTGTGTATGTAGGTATACTTTAGAATACATTACATTCATATTAAAAATTCATGTTAAAAGGATCTTTTAACAGGTTAATGACTTAAAATACCCAAAAGAGCTCGCTAGGAATTGATTTTTATCGGAAAAGATCGACGTTTTGCCATGGCCAACTGTCCAACTGGATATTAATCTCATCGAAATCTTATGGGAGAATACCAAATACATTGTTGCAACTGAAAATCCGTCAACCAGAGCCAAGTTTTAGCAAGTGGTTCATGGATTATTGGCTCAAATCCTATTGAAGCGTTGGCAAGAGATTAATGACCCATATCCGGCCGGTGCAAGTTCGCAATGAAAACCAAATTGATAAAAACCTCAATATTAAAGCTCAAGAAACATGAAGAAAATGAAATATATGTTTTTATTTGAGTTTCGTTATATTTTTAAATTTTCTAAAAAAACACTACTATTTCATTGAACAGCATATTTTATGGGTATTCGGCTTATGTCATGTAAAACTAGAAAATGGAACTGAAATGTATGGATATTTCTTCGGTTTTCTAATGCTAACAGTCCAGTCTATTTAAAAAGGTATCATTTGTTCAATTTGGATAACTGGAAATGTCTCAAAAAGAGTTTTGAAAGTGATTAGGTGCGGCACTACTATTTCATTGAACACAGCTGTATGTCTAATATTCGATGAAAAGAGCTGATTGTTGCAGAATCAATCAATTGATCGTGAACAGAGACAAAGAATTATTTAACTGGTAAACAACAAAATTAGTCAAATATTATTGAAAGAAAACTACTAAAATTAAAAAGTGACAGCTTCTGAGCAGCCATTTAAAAACAAACAGTAATGTCTCCGACGGAGTTGCAAACATAATGTATGTATGTACGTAATTACAGTACCTACATATACACATATGCGAACTAGCATTCAGCTTACCGGGTTGGCATGTTTCACATGCCATGGTTATACATGGTCACTCTAGCAAAACAAGTATGTACGCAATTAATAAGAGATACAAACGCAAGAAGAGTGAATATATAATATTCTACACTTACAATTTACATATGTTTCTTCTCATAGGATTATGCATGTAAGCATATGTATTTATTACACGCACATAAAACACTGAAACTTTAAGAAACAACAGTACGTATTAATGGCATATTCCTATTACTTTTTCCAAGTAAAACACTTAATTTGTTTTCAAAACCGTGTGACTGTCCAGTGTCCGTGTCGAATACTCGTTTCAAGCAAACAATTTTGAGCTGCAGTGTGACCACACCACGTATCGATAAAATATACTGTTTGACTCTCAGAAATGTGCCATGTTACTTTCCAAATATACCATAAACATACCATATACATTTGCAATTTTCGTCTTGCTTTCGCGTCCCGTCATGAGTCGAACATTTCGTCAACTTGCCGAATGGCCCAGCTCTCGACCCGAATGCCTCAGCACCACAGCCGAATGGTCCCAGCACCCCAGCCGAAGGCCCTGGGCATGATGCATTTATATAAGGTGGTCTCGTCTCAAATCGTTCGGTTTTTAGTCCCTTAAGCCTTGTACTCAGATCCAAAACAATACCTCGCGAACAGAATCAGGGTTGATATTCGTATGAAAGCGATAAGAAATCTTTTCCGGCAAAAACTGTGTTCTAGACTCTGTACGGAAGGCAGTACTCAGATCAAAAAACAAAAAGGTCGGTATATACGGGAAAAGTATCCGAAGTATATGCTTTTTTTTTTTGGTATGTTTCGACCCACCTCGAAAAAGATATCAATTTGATATAATTTGCCAGCAAATACGAAGCAAACATTGCAATAAGAGAACAAAATAGAATCTGGCTAATGCAGTATTATATGAATAAAAATTATATGGATATTATAATATATTTTTTTTATTAATTTTCATATATATAAAACAAATATTGCTTTCAAAATAGTTTGTCTTCACGGTGGTCGGCACGGGTGGCGTCGCCATTTGCTGCTGCTGATAGTCAGACACATTACCTTGCCAATAAAATGTTGGGAAGCCCAGGATATGTCTGGGGAAGAGCAGCCCCAGCCGAAGAAGTGCATTTTATTAACTTTAAACAACACCAAGCAGCGGTCTGAGCAGTGTAACCGTTCGAAATACAGTGCTCACCTCTGGTCACACACTGGCCGCTAGAAGAATATATGACATTTGTTTGCTGGCAAACAGTTTTTGGATCTGAGTACTAGGCTTAAATCTATCAAAATTTACCACTCGATTTAATATTGTAAATAAACACTCAATAAATTTATGTTAAAACGAGAAGGAACGTGTTAGACCTTTCTGGGGACGCGACTCTACTTTTATTCCCATACTCAGTCAGTATATCAATTTTTGAGCTTATGATTTATGTAGAATTTTAAAATATTTTACATTTTACATATGCTACATCTGTTATCTACATCTACATATACAATGTATATTCTACATCTGACATGTAGATTATAAATGTACCATTTACTTCTCCGCCAGCGGGCGCTCGCGTACATAGCGAGGCAGAGTGTGCGAGCGAGAAAGAGAATCTTGCTGTAGGAGGTGGGGGTAGCAACTGAAAATTATTTTCTTCATTCTGGCTATAATTATGATCCGTTTGATTAAGTTTTATCGTATCTTTAAAATTGTGCCTGCTACAGATTTTCGTTCTTTGTGGAGGCGGAAAGGGGCGGGGCGAAATTTTGAAATACTCTTGTAGCAGTGTGATATCGCATGAGTCTGGAAACCAGATTTTGTTGCCCTAGCTCTTATAGTCTCTGAGATCTAGGCGCTCAACAAGACGGACAGAAGGACATGGCTATATCGACTCGGCTATTGATGCTGATCAAGAATATATATACTTTATGGGGTCGAAAACGTTTCCTTCTCTGCGTTGCACACATCCACTTTTACCACAAATCTAATATACCCCTTATCTCTTTTTGAGTACGGGTATAAAAATAACGAGAAGGAACGTGTGAGTCGCTTCTAAGGACGCGACTCTACTTATACCCGTACTCAGTCAGCATATACATTTTTGAGCATATGATTTTTTAGAATTTAAAAAAAAAAAAAAAAAAATTTTACATTTTACATTTTTTTGCTACATCTTGTATCTACATCTTAATATACTATCTATATTCTACATCTAACATGTACATTCTACATGTACCATTTAGATTCTACATCTCCTCCGCTAGGGGTTGCTCGCGCACTGAACGCGCCAGAGTGTGCGAGCGAGAAGAAATATGAGTTGCGTTGTTGTTGTCAGGAGGGGGCAGGGGAAGCAACATAAAATTAATTCCTTCATTCTGGCTATAATTATGATCCGATCTTATTCAGATTTGGCAATCTGGTAGATATGGGCATTCTCTACGATACTGCGTTTTTAGTTTTATCGTATCTTAAAAACTGTGCCTGCCACAGATTTTCGTCCTTTGCGGGGTCGAAAGGGGGCGGGGCGAAATACACATGTAGCAGTGGGATATCACATGAGTCTGGAAACTAAATTTGGTTGCCCTAGCTCTTATAGTCTCTGAGATCGAGGCGCTCATCGAGACAGACAGACATGGCTATATCGACTCGGCTATTGATGCTGATCAAGAATATATATACTTTATGGGGTCGAAAACGTTTCCTTCTCTGCGTTGCACACATCCACTTTTCGCTTCTAAGGACGCGACTCTACTTATACCCGTACTCAGTCAGCATATACATTTTTGAGCATATGATTTTTTAGAATTTTAAAATAAAAAAAAAAAATTTTACATTTTACATTTTTTTGCTACATCTTGTATCTACATCTTAATATACTATCTATATTCTACATCTAACATGTACATTCTACATGTACCATTTAGATTCTACATCTCCTACGCTAGGGGTTGCTCGCGCACTGAACGCGCCAGAGTGTGCGAGCGAGAAGAAATATGAGTTGCGTTGTTGTTGTCAGGAGGGGGCAGGGGAAGCAACATAAAATTAATTCCTTCATTCTGGCTATAATTATGATCCGATCTTATTCAGATTTGGCAATCTGGTAGATATGGGCATTCTCTACGATACTGCGTTTTTAGTTTTATCGTATCTTAAAAACTGTGCCTGCCACAGATTTTCGTCCTTTGCGGGGTCGGAAGGGGGCGGGGCGAAATACACATGTAGCAGTGGGATATCACATGAGTCTGGAAACTAAATTTGGTTGCCCTAGCTCTTATAGTCTCTGAGATCGAGGCGCTCATCGAGACAGACAGACATGGCTATATCGACTCGGCTATTGATGCTGATCAAGAATATATATACGTTATGGGATCGGAACGTTTCCTTCTCTGCGTTACACACATCCACTTTTACCACAAATCTAATATACCCCTTAACTCTTTTTGAGTACGGGTATAAAAATAACGAGAAGGAACGTGTGAGTCGCTTCTAAAGACGCGACTCTACTTATACCCGTACTCAGTCAGTATTTACATTTTTGAACATATGATTTTTTAAACGAAATTTTTGCATTACAAAAAAAATTCTACATTTTACATTTGAACCGCGTCAACCGTCAACGACTACAGACGTATTTTTGTATCGCTCCGCGGTGAAAATCAATTAAATCAATTAATCGCGATTAATCATAAATTAAATTCGCGAAAAAGATCTCGGGGTAGGCATGGGTACTAGTGATCGTGCTGCCCATGAATACCATCCAATCGAGTAATAAAGACTAATAGAAATAATAGAAAAGAACAAATGTCAACGTTTAAGAGCACCAGCTCGGTAAAGAGCACAAGCACTGTAACCAAAGCCAAAATGAGCCAAGCCCGGCAACAACAACAAGACGAGCGTCGGCTCTCGCAAGCAAAAAACAACGCGTACTTCTCTATACGCTCGCCAAAGGCAGCAGTACCAACAAAAACTGCATCACTGCAAGTGAACGAGGAGAGAGCACGCTCTCTCTCCCCTGCATTGGAAAGTGGGTCATGGAGTGCTCAGTGCCCATCCCCCGACTCGTACTGCCTAACCAGCGATTTGCTAATATCGACAACAACTAGTACAATGCCCTCGCTCAAAACTGTGTCTTCGACCACAACAACGACAACAACCACAACAACAACCACTGCAATTGCTCAGCGCCCGAAACTGTCGACCCACTGCGACAAGCCCCAACTCTCCCAACCAATAAGTTCAAAAAATGCTAACGGAGCGTTAATTCAGACTGGGCTCGATCGCTATGTGCAAATCAAAAGAAAATTGAGCCCACAAAATATGAAGAACAACAATGCAGCTAAAATAACTAAAATAACCGAGAACACTGTGCCACATAAGGCACTAGCAAACAATAGATTTGCGATACTAAGTGGTACTAAATGGTACTAAATGAAGAAGAGATCACCCAAACACCCAAGGCCAAAAAATTAAGACCGCCACCTATTTATGTTCGACAGGCAAATTGTGCTGAACTGGTTTAAAAAATAACTGATAAATTGGCGCAAACACATTCTATGTCACGTCCATAAAAATGGGTAATATAAATGAAACAAAAATACAAGTCAATGACGAACAAAACTATCGATCAGTTGCGAAATACCTCGAAAATGAAAAAAATGAATTACTACACCTACCAACTTAAAAGTAGCAAAGGATTACAAGTGGTTATCAAAGGAATCGAACCAACAGTCCCAATCAATGAGATAATAGATGGACTTAACGATAAGGGCTTCGAAGTCAAAATGGCTATGAACATAATAAATAGAAATAAAATTCCCCAGCCAATGTTCAAAGTAGAACTGACACCTGAAAGTATGCATATAAGTAAAAATGAAGTTCACCCAATATACAAGCTTCAATACCTACTGCACCGTAGGATCACCGTTGAGGAACCACACAAACGAAATGGACCGGTCCAATGCACAAATTGCCAGGAATATGGACACACGAAAACCTATTGCACTCTACGGGCAGTCTGCGTTGCCTGTGGTGATGTTCATCTCACTGAGGCCTGCCCCGTAAATAAGGAGGACCCATCTGCCAAAAAATGTAGCAACTGTGGGGGAAACCATACTGCCAACTATAGAGGTTGTCCTGTCTATAAAGAATTGAAAAATCGACTAAACCAACAAATAACTGCAGCTCGAAACCCGGTCGTCCGACAAAACTTAACATATATACCATCAACTACGACTCCAGGAGTTTCTTTTGCTCAGGCGTTAAGTTACAACAACGGGTCGTACGCCTCAGTCTCTAAGCCGACACTTAAACCA